TTTTTTCATTTTGCACTTGAGATGTGGGAGTTTCCCACTTAACAAAAGCTTAGTAGAATGATGCATTGATGCATTGGCTTTCTCATCAAGAACGACATAATTCCTTGCATTCCTTAAGGCCGTCCAATTCTTATGAGAAATCGACATATGTGGAAGCTAAGACAAAGATTGTGCAAGCAATTATGGGAAATTAAAAAAAAGGATGTGCTTTTTCAATGATCTACCAAGAGGAGATTTTTTAATATGAAAGAATTCACTGTTGTTGTTAAATCGCTGCTGGAGGGTTTTATGCTGTTTAACAAGAAATTAAGAATTGGAAGCTTGCACCTTAGCCTCTAGGTCCACTGACATTAGCCAAATTGATGGTGCACTGCCCCCTCCCTTGGGCTGGTTCGAAACCCACCCCTTGCCAAAATGATCAAAAAAAGAATTGGAAGCTTCAACACAATTCCTGTGTCAACTGTTTCAGCACAAAATTTGATTGCTTAACCTCTAGAATGAAACAGTTAAACCGCACAAATTTCACTCTTCCTCTCCTCTCCCAAGCAACACACAAATTATATTATCAACCAAAGTTTAGCCGAATTAATACTTACTTTTAAAAAACAACGATTTTGATGTCAAATGCTAAGCACTAGTTTCCTCAATCAAAAAAAAAAAAAAAAAAACACATAAATTGTATTGAAGCTCCCAGTAAGCTGAAAATGTGTGACTATAACAAGCGAACCACAACACCATTATTCCATATAAAAAACATTACCTTGCTAGATCAATGGACAAAACCCCTCCATTATTATTTTACATGTCCTTTGCCACTTCTTTTTGTCTTTCTTTTATTAATCTTGTATAACAACAATGAAGACTGAGTTCTAAGCTTGTTTATTCACCTTCCTTTTCGTGAAAGTTTCTCCCATCATGAAAATGAAACATTTCTTCCAAGACCACACATCATCTGACACCAATTTAGACAACCATGATCCAAAGATGGGGTCAAGTAACATTTCTAGCGATGTCATAATAATGCAGGAGCCAAGCTGCTGCTTTCCTTTAAAAGGGATGGATCTAAATCCTGCACGCGTGGTATGTAAAGAACTTTTTGAGGATCCAAAGTTCTAGCAATTTTCCCTTTTATAGCACTATATAGTCAATTACATGGATTCCAAATCAAATGCTCAACGCAAGTTCTTATTTTCTGTAAGTTTTGTTGAGCTATTTGGACTATAGATAAACGAGTCAAATGCTTTATATTCTTGTTAATGGTATCATTCTTCGGAAATATTAGCCCAACAAACTGAACTTTTTCAGAACATGCAGATTTTGGCAGAATGGGTGGGGACTTTTATTTTGATGTTCTCTGTGTGTGGGATCATATCGAGCACTCAGCTGTCTAGAGATGGAGCGGGTCTGCTGGAGTATGCCGCCGCAGCAGGGCTGTCTATAATTGTTATAGTCTTCATAATAGGACCCATTTCCGGTGCCCACGTTAACCCTGCAGTCACCATTGCCTTTGCAACTCTAGGCCATTTTCCATGGTCCAGGGTACATAATAATAACCTTTAATGTTAGTCTAGTCGCCTTCATTTAGGCACAGAAATTGAACAGGATTTAGAATGATTTCTTTCTTTTTCCTTAACAGGTACCATTTTACATTTTGGCACAATCATTTGGGGCTCTGTTGGCAACATACGCAGGAGTGGCTATCTATGGCATAAAATCGGATCTCATGGCGACAAGGCCTGCCCAAGGCTGCACTACCGCCTTCTGGGCGGAGCTTGTTGCCACATTCATCCTTATGTTTCTTTGTGCAGCGTTGGCACGCCAAGCTCAATATGTAAGTAGTTCCATTCTTTGCACTTTCTCCCCAACATTTTCCTCTTAACTTCAAATCAAAAATTTTCACAGGTGGGTTCTGTGGCCGGTCTAGTTGTTGGAATAGCTATTGGACTTGCAGTACTCATCACAGGGTACGTATAAAACTTTACCAATGGAAATGATTAAGGCATCATACTAATGAACCCTTAAACTCACATGTCCATGTTTCTTGGTATTCCTATGTTAGGCCGGTTTCAGGAGGATCACTCAATCCTGCAAGATCATTAGGACCTGCAATTGCCTCCGGTAACTATGAGGGGATATGGATATACCTAACTGCCCCTGTGATCGGGGCTGTAGTTGGTGCCCTGCTATATCGATTTCTTTATCTTCAAGGGCCACCTTGCACTGCTAGTTCTTCCCCTGACACCAGTCTGCTCAACAATCACTCCCTGGCATTTGGTGTGGGAGTTATTGCAGAATAAGAATTATGTATAATATAAGTCTTCTATAAAAAGAGGAACAATGCCTATGACTCTCTATGCATTGCATCAGTGCACATAGCTCAGATTGTCATTGCATATTTGCATTAATAATATACACTTAATTGGATGAGTTTGTATAAATTAACTTGGGGTTGTCTAATATAGCGATTTGGTTTGATGAATAGGCTTTCATTCCAAATTGCTAGAAAATAGATGTTTGGTAAATATTTTAACTTGCAGGTTAGGATGAAAACAAGACAAGGGTAGCAACAAGCTACTACTAATGTATCAATATAATTTAACACGAATTAGATGCTAAAACACCATATATTCAAATAATTAAATAATAAAATCATGTACTATTATTGGAAGTCATTGATCTATAAACCAGCAGAGAAACGTAACATATCATTTAATTTCGGACTCTACATTTATTCATATCACACCATATAAAACTGAGATAAAATTTAGATTCATTTGAATTACATAACTTTATTGAATTTTATCGATTTTTCATTTGACCCAATTTTAAGAAAACTAAATACAATTAGTCGAAACCCACATAAAATTTCCAACACTCAGCACAATGACAATGGCTCATAATATTGTGGGTATAGAACTTCATTCACATTTTCGAGGGGAGAGTCCACATGCACAGGTAAATTTTACTTGGAAATTTTTATAAAAAACAATTATGAAAATACTATACCAAAAAATTGATAGATTTTGTTAAAATTTTACCCATTGCTTCTTCATCCTTCAAATTATGCGCCCAACAATATAACCTATGCATTCTCTCTTCTTTTTTTCTTCGAAATATCGTCATGCCTCCCAAGATACATGAACCTGAGACGACCTTTCTTTTTCTTCTGCCTCTTTTCTGACATAAGAATTGTGAATTGGTTTCGCCTCCTCATTTTTCAGGTGGCTAATTAATGATATTTCATTTTTACTTTTTTTTTTTTATAAAAAGGAGTTAACACAATCAAATGCTTGTGGCCCATGAGGAACCAATAGACCAGGGGAGGCCCGCCCCTATCTATCAATGGCCACTAGGCATGAAAACCAATGAAATTGTATCTAATAAAAACTAATACGATTCTAATGAATTATAAAATAAAAATCATTATAAAAAAAATTATTTTTATTTAACAATTTAAATTATACAATTTGTTATAATCTAAACTACATTAATCTTAAAAAAGAAAAAAGAAAAAAAAAAACCCCAAAGCCTCCTTTTGAATTTAGGAAGAAAACAAGTAAACATCACAATCTCATTTCCTTTTCAGGTGATGAATCCAAAAACTTCAAAGTCTTAGAACACCTCAGATTGAGGAGGATAGCTGACCATAGGAAAATGGTTTCATTTCATTTGCCTCAATTAATACCTATAAAAAAAATTCTAAAACTAGAATAAAAATTTTATAACTAAGTTATAAAAAGATAACAATTACAAAAGACTCTAGTTGATGTCATAAACCTCAACTGTCATGATATTGTTATATTTTATTTGTCAGTTGTCACCAATCAGTAAGGTGCCCATAAAAGAAAGCAACAAACAAGGCTAGCTAGCTGAGGCAGGCATTAATTGGAAATGTGTATAAGACATGCATTAAGCTCCAATCCAAATACTGAGGACGTGTTATCCTCCTTCCGGACCCCCTGGACTGAATCGACCGATGGTAGCCATGGTTTTTAAATTTTTATTTTGTATAGTTGTAGTTTTTAATTCTTTATTTTGACTTTATAAATTTTTAATTTTTTTTAAAAAAACTTGTTTACTTTCATTTTTTAATATAATATCACAATTATCAAAAAAGATGAATAATTTTAATATTCACTACTAGAAAACAGCATATAATCGACAGAAATATAATCGACAGTCAAAAAACTGTCGATTTTACTTATATTATCGACAAAAATTCTGTCGATTATAATAAAGTGTCGATTATATAGGTATAATCGACA